GTTTCAGCTGTTTATTTTTCTTGCTGGGCTTCTGGGATTCTGACAGCAGTTGTGTACACTGAAAATGACAGTGTTTTCAGAGGAAGAAGTTATTTTATTGGGCACTACAGGACTTCTCTCTGAGTTCTGGGAAAGTTGTGCTGCAGGTCATGGTGAACAGACTTTTACAAGGGTCATGTTGAAATTCAGGACAGGCTATATTCTCCAAAGGGAGAAGAGGATTCTATGCTGATGGGCACATTTGCAACAAGTTGTCCAGGTACAGAAAGTCAGGATGTGGTGACTTCCATCAGCTGGTCCATGACATCAGCTCTTCCTCTATAAAGAATTGAGTTCTAATTACTGTGACTTGCACTGGTGTGATTATTATCTTGTTTTCCTACCTGACTGTGGCTGTGTCTCGTGCACTGGATGGTTGCACTGTAATTTCTGTAGTTGTGGTTGATGACGAGTGTGTTGTTTCCAGTGTGGTTTTTGTTAAATGCAGTAACAATGAAAATTATTGCTAAGGGAAACAGTTTCCACATGAATATTAAACTCTAATGGAAACCATGTTGTTACTGCAAGATTAAGAGAATTTGCATCTTGGAGGACTATCCAGCATTAAGCCAAATTAATCTGTGTCACTAAAATTGCATGTCCAGCTTTGAATTAGGACATTCTCGTAAAATGAAGGAACAGCTCACCCTGTTCACTTTTCTGGATGATCCCTATAAACCAAACTTGGCCTGGAGGCTCGGTGGTGACAGCCTTAGCCTGTCTGTGAGGGCCCTTCCATGGATACAGTTCTTTTTCACCTGGATACCACTGACTCTTGAGACCTCTGTTTATTCAGCTGTAGAACAGTGTTAGTACCTATCTTGGAGGCAGTTTAGTGGGTTTCTTCTTTAATGTTTCTTAAATTTTGGAACCTTTTCTATGTAGGCTTTATAGAAAGGGAGAAGTATTTTTCATTTTAAGTATCACAAGCACTGAAAGATTCCCTTGGTGACTGACTTGATGTGTAAATACAGGCAGGGCATCTCTGTCGAACATATCATTGCCATTGAATGGAAAGGCAGAGCATGAATCACTTCAGGGTTTCCTGATTTTACTCGTGTAGGATGTTAAGAGAGGCTACAGGAATGTAATTGATGGCAATGTGCAAGCTGCACAAATTGAAAATCATGGGAGGATGAGAAAAACATCAGCTCAACACCAAGCTAGTAATGATGGGGAATGGGAGGTTTGCTCTGAGCATGTGGATATGCAGGGAGTCTCTGTCTGTGCCAAGCAGACTTCAGGACTGGGAGTCTGGCTCCCTTCCCAACAGCAAATACATTGAGCAGGAGGAGAGCCAGCCAAGTTTTAATCAAGTAAAAGTTCTGTATCCAGAGGTGGTTGGCAAAAGAAGAGATTAAAGTATTAGGAGTGCAATGAAAACAAGACATTAGAGAGTTGAAAGCTGGAGTACCTGGACAAACCACTTGCTGAGTGAATACTCCAGAGCCATCAGGAAGAAGCCCCAGGTGTTTGGAGCAGGACAAAACAGGAACCCACACACCAGGACTTGTCTTCTCCCAGCTTTGGCCATCCCTGTGGCAAGTGTGTAATATCCTCATGCCTTGCTGCTGGGATAGATGGGATCATTCCCCTTGGAGATCCTGCTGGTGGAGGGCTCATAGCTGGCAGGAAGGCCAACAGCTGCAAACTGTTTATGTATGACAAGTTTTTGGATAAATGTGAGTTTACACAGTTGCCTGTGTCCCAGGGTTTGCTGTGGAAGTGCAGATAGCTCTGTGTGTCCAAGCCCAAGCACAGAAGTTATGGGCTGTAATTATGTAATTTCTCAGGAGAGAAAGGAAAAAACCCTCGTGCTTGGTAATAGTAAAAATAGTAATTGGCTTTCCTTTCCCTCTTCCACTGATGATCCCGCTTGACCTTTTTTATATATTAAAAATAGATTTGTGGTAATTGCTGGCAGTATATCTGAAAGATAAGGACATTTTTTCCCCAAAGAAAAGCACTATCTGTGTATTTGCAGAGGCACATGAGAAGTGTGGGGTTTTGTTCAAAAATAAACAAACAAAAATCCCAGTTCAGCTTCCTTCCCTATTTTTCATTTTCACACACACACACCTGTCTCACAGACAGGGCCAGAAGCAAATATACCAAATAAAAGCATTTCCTCTTATATTATTCCCTGCCTGGTAGAACCATGGCACACCAGAATTTTCACAAACATGTCTGAATTCATGAAGTTTTTATTCCAGTTCTGCAGACTTGAAAGGCTCAGATAAAAATCTGGAAATTTCAGAGGCAAACAACAGTTTCCATTCATCCCAATGAAGACATAAATAATGTTAATGCAGCTACCAAAGCATTATGCTACTATTGTTGTTGGTTAAAGGTGTATTTTTCTCTGCACATCAGTTATGTGGATCATTGTACTGGATTACAAAAAAGTTGCATTTATGTTAATGCTTCAGATGGATTTACTAAAGAACTAGAGTGTGTTTGCAGATCAATAATTTATTTGCTGTTGATATTCTGATGAAAGGAATTAATGCTAAAATGTATTGGTCCAAAAGAAAATCATAGTCTTAGGAAATAGTTTGATAGAAAAAATAGATTTCAGAAACGTTTTTAAAGCAAGCTTTTTCAGGCTTAAAATGTGATATCAATTTGTTATAACTGGCTTGCTGTTCCAGAATGACTCTTATTAATAAGCACTCAGCAGTTCACGAGCTGGACTTCTTACCGAGTTCATTGCATGTACTCCAAAGGTTTCTGCTCTTCCAGGATTTTGAGTTTCTCTGCCCAGTCCATTTCTGTAATAATAAACTAATATTAAATGGCTACATTTTAAAATTGATCATTGCAGATATTGTAAAATGGCCACACAGGATTCACATTAAGCACTGAAAATAGCTAATGAAAATAGATGACTAACAGTCTGTAACTGAGCCACAGTCACTGCTTCTTTGACCACTGGTGGATGTAAAAGTCTTTAATCATTACTTTTCCACCTTTGAATAATGAGAGTTTTAGCACAGAGCAAAAGCCAAAATAATAGTGTGGATATGCACTGCCAGGTTCAGTGGGGATTAGAGCCACTAAACAAAGACTTCAGAAGAATTACTGTTTGGCATAATGTATTTGACAGTTGAATTCGTATTTAACATATTTTAATCTATTGTCAGAATTCTAGACTGTTTTGCTGCACCACACCTCCCAAAAATGGGAATGTTGCCCCCTTCCATCTCCACGATGGCAAACATAGACCTATCCTCATTTCATGAAATCTCTCAGGAGGAACTTGGCATGAATAATTTCAAGCAAAACTGATTTGCCTGATTGACCCTTGAGCCTGAAATGCAATTGTTGTTCCTCAGTAAAAACCTCATGTGTCAGATACAACTGAGAGAGATATTGGCACAGGTTCATGGAAAGATAAAGGTGGAATAATCAGGTTTAGTAGTAGGAATAAAACACTTCTGGTAAGAGTCCTGCTTTGGTCATTTCTGCTTAAAACTGCTGAAAGGGAAGCAAAAAATCTCTACCTATTCAGTAGAAGTGTCTTTCAGCTGACTCAAATACTTGGTTTTGGCTTCCCTTTAACCAAAAGGTGGCACATTCATTGGGCCACCAGGGGTGTGGACTGAGCTTGCAGTCTCAAAAATTCTTTCTCAAAGAAGGCTGTTACTTCCTGAGCAGTTCCTTGACATCCTTTGGACTATTCTGCATGTAAGAAGCAACTCAGTCCAAGAAAAGTGCTGAAATCCAGCCTTTTATGGCCAGATTTAAAAGGTTAAATTTTGATCTCATTTTTTTTTGCATGTGATATGAAGCTGCCCTTTCACAGTCTGCATTTTTAAAGTAATCAGGTGTTAGTGCCTGATTTCTGCCTTCATTCTTTGCTGCAAGTGTTGAAGTAAAAGGCTGTTGTCCATCCCTTCATTCCATCCAGAACATCTCTGGCAACAAATATCCACATCCTTATTGTTGTCAAGACTCATAAAAACAGAGCCAGACTTCTTCCAGGTCTCAAGTTCTTCATTTGCACCCTGATAAACACAGTTTGATCAGCTCTGAGAGGAAAAAGAAAAGGAAAATGAGGAGATCATGACTGTATTGCATGGTCATGGTCTGCTCCTTAAAGGCAGCTCCATCCAGCCCCTCCTCCATGGAACTGTTACTGCAGTGAGGAAATGGATTCCTTGTGTGGTTAAATACAAATAAAAGCAGATATATCCCCTGTGACACCCTGAGCTAGCCTGTGATGCCATCTCAGCATTCCCCAGTGCAGTGGCACTTTCAGCAGGGGACAGTCTGGCTGCAGGAAGGGCAGATGAGGACTATTGTTTTTCCATAGCAGAGGTTTCATGCTGTGACTTCTGAATTCCTTTTTGGCCTCAGCCTCAAACTGTTCGTGGTGCCCACACAAACAGGAGAATACTGTGCATGGATCAAATCCTAAATTCCACTCAGTAATAGGAGACTTGTGCCACCTACATTGGCTTTGTGACTCACCATCAGCACTTTGCCAGCTCTCCTGGCTCTGACACTCTCACTTTGTTTTAAGCATGAAAATAAAGGAAAATGTAAGATCTTTTCAGAGTCTCTGCTTTATTGTTTTATTCCTTCTCCCTGACTTCATTCTGAAAATCGGGAGAGCTCCGTTTAAGTGCTTGTTCAGACTCCTTTGCTGCATTTTCTAGTGCTGCAGTAGAGGGAATTAGCAGACAAGTTTAGATGAATTTTTGGGTCAGTGAAATATATTTTCCAACGAAAGCAGTGAAGGTGAGTGTGCTTTACTTATTTCCTGTCTGACCAAACTCTGGACTGATTCTTCACTAGGGTGAGGAAGAAACTACTCAGATGATTTTGTGTGGAAACTGCTCTAATATTTTTCGTTCTGGTTGCATTTCTAATCCCTTTGGTTGCTAGTGCTGTATGTTTTGAGTGAATGAGCTGTTTCACTGGTTTTGATGGGAACATTCTCTGTGTTTTTGTTGCAGGAATTGCTTACCTAGGAGGTGTCTGCAGTGCCAAGAGAAAGTGTGTTCTTGCTGAAGACAACGGTCTCAATCTGGCATTCACAATTGCACATGAGCTTGGGCACAAGTAAGAACTTGCCCTTCTGTTTCCTTCCTTACTTCTGCCACTGCAGGACACTTTTGTTTAAAGCCAGACAAGTGCAATTACTGGTGTGGTGTGTTTGTTATGATTTCATAAATGTAGCACATTGATACATAATTTAATTTTCAGGAGGCTTATGTAAATACCCATTTTAGCACACATAAATCTTTCTAGTTCATCTTCCCCTGTTTTCAGCTCTCTGTTCTGATTCTGAGTAGCACAAAGAGGCCTCAATCTCTTAAATGATTGACAGTAATAGAGACAAATTCTACTTTTTTTTACTGTGTAGAACAGATCCACAAAACCAACATGAGCTTCAAAATCTTTGAACTTGCTATGTTTTCTCTGAAGTTCAGGTGTCTGTGTCAAGGACTTTAATACTTAAATAGTTTGGTAATGGTTTCATCTGTGCATGTGAAGTAATCTGCTGTGACTGAAATGGTAAACTTCAGTATTTTGGAAATGCCCTTAAGCAGAATTACTTGATCAGCAGAAAGAAATCCTATAACTTGATTTATCAGCTCAATCACACCTAAATAAAACACTTTGAACACACTGGAAAAAGCAGGAAAGAAGGTGATAAGTCATAGTCAGACAGAAATTTGCAGCATGAGATTACTGGGTACTTTCTGCAGGTGACTTTGGAGACTCTTTAAAGCTGCCTATAAATATCCCATGGGCAGAAGAAAACAAAATTGACTGGAAGAGTCAACTGCATCCCCTAGTGCAGATAATGAGTTAGCCAAAGGTCACCTCCACACTCCTTGCTCTTCAGGCCCAGTGTCACTGCACTTAGTCATAATAGTGATGAGCTTTTCCCCCTTTCCATTGACTTCACTCTGGTTGCAGTGTCACAGCTGGACTGTGGAAGGTACAGAATTAGGCCAGGAACAAAGTTATACAGGGGGCAGGACTGTGCCTGGGGGGTTTCAAGCACTCCTTCCTTCAGCCTCTGTGGATGTAAGGTGGGAAATCCCACCTTTGTTCCTGGAGTAAGAAGTTGTGCCTGAGTTTTTTCTGCACCCTTCCTACAGCTCACATGTCTGCCGTGTCTTCCTTTCCTGCAGTAAGAAGTATTTCACAGCTAAGTCAGAGCCAGTGGAGCGTGTTCAGGTTCTGGCCAATCTCATTCCATGACAAATAATTACTTTATGGCAATGTATTTCAAAGTTGCATGGAGGATATTTAGGTTACCTACCAAAAATGAATCTCCTGTTCACCCTCCAGTGACACCAAAGGCAGCTGAGCCAAACCGAGGGTGGTTTCAGCAGAAATGAAGGACATTTGGTTTTGGTTTTATTTAGATTGCACGCCAAGATGTTAAACTGAGCCTAAACTTAATAACAAATTAACCTGTGGGTAATGCTAAGGGAAATTCAGCACTCATCTTTGGATGGGCCAAGAGCAAGAGGGAAAAATACTTGAGCTGCAGAAAATCCAGCT